TTCTTAGACCTTTTTTTTTGCTTTTCCTATTTTTACATTTTCTTCTTGGGGCTCAGGATGTCGAGTTATGTGATTTAATTTCCCAGGGATATTCTTCCCTGAGCCCATGATGCCCAGTCCCATGGACTGATCACTGTTACCTTCTGCCTGGTGCCAAAGACCAACCTGGATAGTCTCTGGGACCCTGGTGGTGCTATGGGCTAAGCATTGGGCTGCTAACTGCAAGGTCAGCAGTTGAAACCCACCAGCTCATCTGAGGAAGAAACCTTGTACTGGGTCCTTATCAATCAGAATCGATTAGGTGACTGTGGGTTTGGTTTGGGCATTTTCTAAGGAGCCCTGGTAGTACAGTGGGTTAAGCATTGGGCTGCTAGCCAGAAGGTGGGCAGTTTGAACTTAGCAACCGCTCCACGGAAAAAAGATGGTCTGCCCTACTGAAGATTTACAGCCTTGGAAACCAATGGAATAGTTTTCACTCTATTCTTGCAGGGTGGCTGTGTGTCAGACTAAAATCTATGGCAGTAGGTTTGGTTTATTTTGGTTGGCTATTTGCCCAAGTCCTCCTGTTTCGGGATCTGGTCCCCCTTTCTCCTGATTCAGCCCCTCACTTGGTGCAAGTGTAGCCGGTAGAAGTTCCTGAGATAGGAGGAATGGCAGGCAGATGTTTAAAGACCTTGTGAAGTGAAAATATTCTGCCCCTCAAACCTTTCTCCTTGATGTTGTTAAGTGCTGTCAAGTCAGTTCCGACTCATAGTGACCCTGTATAGGGTTTCTGAGGAGCAGATGGTGATCTTGAACCTTCGACCTCATGGTTCACACCGACCTTGTGGTCCAGTGCATTAACCCACAGCACCACACCAGGACACCTCCTTTGCAGAGCCTAGAATTTTAAATTGACACGAATTGCCCAAAGAATCTGGAGACTTTGTCTTCTGCTTTTGTTGAGAATCAGCATTTTCTTTGCAAATGGATTCTTTTGTTTTCCTTTCCTTTCTTTCTCTCTGGAATATGGCATCAGCTCCTTTTCATTGTCCATATCTAAAGGGTTCATTCATTGTGTGGGTACTTCTCGAAGCTTTTAAAATGAGCATTTATTGTTCTGGGAAATGTCCTTTTCTTCTTCTTTCTATTTTATCTGCTTTCTCTCTTTTCCCACATTGGCTTCCCCCCTGGACTCAGCCTTTAACTTCAGTTCTACATTTCTCCTGTTTTTCGTCTCTCATTTTTGGTTCCTACTTGTTTTTTGGAGATTGCCCCGTTTATCTCTGAAGCCCTCTCTTGAATGCTTTCCTTGTTCTCCTTTGCTCTTGTCGAGGGTCCTCGGTTTGTTCCTGTGGGTCTCATCTTGGTGGGCCACAGACATTTTAGTGCTGGCCAGAGACGTTTGTTTGGCTCTCACTTAATCTCTATGTGTCTCATTTTGGGATGTCTTTGGAACCTTCTTGTGTGGTGAACACTCTAGCTTCCTAGGCAGGATAGAACAGCAGGACAGGGTATAGTCACCTGAATGCTCAGGCTGCGGGGGTTGAGGACCTGTGGGGGGGGGGGTGTCCAATGTCTTCTTCTGGCCGCCCTCCTCACCTCTTCCTTCTGGGTTACTGTGTTCCAAAATCCCTGCCATTTGGGGGCTGTGAGGAGAAAGGCTTGTTTCTTGTCCCCATCTCCCCACTGTGTGTCCGGGGTTCTGGTGACTCCTTTGATGTTCCCCCACCATGTCCCGTTCTGTCACATTTTCTTTATTTTCTCTTTGTGTACCTGGCAGTGATAAAGTACTAGTGGATTGTCCTTTACTTTTCCTGTGGGTCCCCTCCCATTGTTCTGCTCAGGAGTGGAGAGGAGGGACAGATGGACGGTAGGTTCCCGAGTCAGGTGACGTGAGCAGAATTCGCCGGCTGGCTGGATGTGGGGTGAAGGTGTTAGCAGGGACCCGGGCTTCTTGTCCCACTGGTGAGGAGGGGCTGCTGCTCTCCTTCATGGCTTGAGGTGTTGGTGGGACACTGAGCCCATATTTCTAGCCATCAGTTGAGCACACGGGTCTGTGGGTGGTAAAAATGGCCACATGCCCGACAACTAGGCAAAAGGTCGGCTGTTCGACCCACCAGGAGACCCTAAGAAGTTGGAGCCCTGCGAAGTGGCTCTGTTGTGGCACGTTTGGTCAGGGCTGGACTGAAACCTTGGGAGAGGCAGTCAGCAGCTGGCAGGACCCCAGGAGCCCCAGCTTTTATGGAATGGAGAGGGGTGGGGAGCAGGTCCAGGTGCCAGAGAGAGATCCAGAACCGGGCTGCGGGTGGGAGGGGCAGAGTGGGCCTGGTGGGGCTGCGAGTGAACGGGATATGCTTTTTTCTGTGAAATGTGTCAGTAAGATGAGGACTGGTGAGGCCATTAGCTCTAGGGCTCGTGGATTGTTTGGATTTTTTGATGGACGGACTTGTAGCATGTTTGTTGGATGAGCAAATCCAGGCCACACTCTTCTGAGTTTTGGGGCCTCCTGGCTACTGTTCAGAGTTGATTCTGTTTAGGGGGGAACTGGATGCTCCGGGACTCCCATTTCTAGGGGAGCAGGTCCCAGTTGTGGACTACTTCAGGGTTGGGGCCTCCCTGGTTTGCGGGGTACATGCGAGGACCTGAATCATTACACAAACCGAGGCACAGTGCGTTTCCAGCCTTGTTGAGAGGGGACTGTGTCCAGAGAAGTGAAAGCAGCCCACCTTCCAGACCACACACCGACTTGGACTGTGTTTGTGTGTGTGTGTGTGTCTGGAGCAGTGCTTTGTTCCTAGCCTGGCAGCAGCTACAAGGAGTAACAGATCTCGGAAAATGGACTGAAATAGCTAGTCCTACTTCTTCTTCCCCTTGTGAAGTGTCTTGGCGTGGACACTGGCTTTCCCGTGACTGGCTGTGGTCGGCAGTCTCACGGTCCCCTTTTCAGTCACATTTCCTGTCTCAGATAAGCTCAGCTGTTGCCGGACCCTTTCTCCAGCCTGGCCTGGTGATGTAGGTCCTACACCACTCATTCTCGGAAGCCTCAGGAGGGGCTGTGGCGGGCCTGACACAGGAACTGGGAGACCTCCAGTGCAGTGTGCTTGAGAATCTGCTTCCTGCTACGGCTGCTCCAAGCCCATGTGAGTCACAGTGAAATGTGCTCCAGCTGGTTTTTCAGAAATAAATCACCAGACCTTTCTTTTGAGGTACCACTGGGTGAAATGGAACCACTAAGCTGTTAGTTAGCAGCTGAGCTTGTTAACTATTAGCTTTAGTCAAGGATTCCATAGACTTTTCAGAGCCACCCAAGGGAGCCTGGATTTACACGTTCGTCTGTGTGTGTGCGTCTGTGAGTGTGTGTGTTCAAGGAGAGAGAAAGCTCAAAGTGACCCCTGCCTCCAAAGCTCTATGTAGACTTTGCTGATTAAAAAACAAAAAATTTTTTTAAGTGTTTCTAGTTGACTGCATATTTATTTGTTATTCAATTGTCAGACATATGGTTGATCATCCAGAGAGGGGATAGCATCACAGGTACAAGTATAGACATTATTATATACGTAGCACGGAAGAACCTTTTAACTTACTACTTTCTACATATTCTAGAATAATTTAATTGTATTCAAGTGAAGCTAATAAGATTCAAATTGGTTGATAAACCCTTCATTTTATTTATTTGTTATATGAAAAAGAATTTTCAGTGTTGAATTTCTCATCCTGCTGAGCTTGCTGATTTTCACCTGCTGAAATTCTGCTTTCATGAAGTCACTTTGAAACAGGAAGTGGTTTTCCAAAAAAATGTTCCTTCCTGCAGGGGGTGGTGGGAGGAGGCCCTGGCTTCTTAGAGTGGTGGGTACCATTTGGGTCTCGCCGAAGGTCCTGAGAGCTGTGCTTGGAATGACCTCCTTCCCCTTAGGACACCCCTGTGTTTTTGAGTCTGGTATTGATGAACTGTTCCCGTTGATGGTCAGTCAACAGCAGTCCCCGGGGCTTAGGGTACTTAGACCCCTCCTGGGTCAGTGTCTTACGTGCATGGAACTGAATGGAAACACTAGGCTCTGGAGTCCAGCAGCCCCAAGTCCTGTCCAAGTCCTCCATCTCCTCGTCCGGAAGACGACATCATAAAAAATGGTACTTTGCTGGCTGTCCAAAGGTTTAAGGAAATGAGGCCAAAACTACAAAATACCTAGTGTGTGCCTGGACATAGTTAAGTACCACTGAGTCGGTTACGACTCATAGCGACCCTGCATAGGGTTTCCAAGGAGCGGCTGGCTGGTGAGTTTGAACTGCCGACCTTGAGGTTTAAACCAACCCTGTGGTTGAGTGCTTATCCTATGGCACTGTATAGGTACTCCATAGCTGATAGGGATGTATGTGCATGGCTTGTTTTTTGTTTCATTTTTAATTGTGGTAAATGACATATAATGTAATTCACTTTGTTAATAACTACATTCATGATGTTCAGTTGTTAGTACTATCTAGTTCTAGAACTTTGTCTTCACCACAAAGCCCTTAAGTAGTCATTCTCCAACCCCCGACCTTTGGCAGCCACTAATCCGCTTTCTGTCTCTCTGGATGAGCCTGTTTTCCTTATAAATGGACCCTTACGATGTGTGGCCCTTTGGATTAACATAATGTCTTCAAATTCATCCACATTGGAACCTGTATTCATACTTCATTCGTTTTGATATTCCCATGAGCCCTGCATTTGGGGAATTCCCAAGGTGGTCCTGAATGTTCCCTCTGGAAGGTGATTTTTCCCACTGTCATTCATAAAGGGGCACGTGTCAATTTTGTTACTGGAGGTGTCACTACAGGTTCGCATATGGGGAGGGACTGGAGCCCTCTCAGATAGAGTTGAACTGGGGAGCAGCCCCAAAGGCCCAGGGACTGTAAGGTCCGGCTGCTCCTTTGCCCTGGCAGCTCCTCCCAAGTCCTGTCTGGCAGGAGGAGTGGGGGACTGGGCTGGCGGGAAGACTGAGTCCACAGGTAACAAATGGGCTCCTTGTGTCCCCCACCAGATGCAGGAAAAGGCCAAGGAGATCTACATGACCTTCCTGTCCAGTAAAGCCTCATCCCAAGTCAACGTGGAGGGCCAGTCCCGGCTCAATGAGAAGATTCTGGAAGAACCGCACCCTCTGATGTTCCAGAAACTCCAGGACCAGGTAAGCTGAGTTCCCTGCATGTACCTTGATTTGAAAACTTCTATTTATTATAGCCCTTGAAGAATCCAGGGAGGCACCAGCGGGTGTGAGGCTTCTAGAAGCATCTCTTCTGGCCCTTGAAGAATCTAGGGAGACGCCAGTAGGTGTTAGACTTCTAGAAGCATCTCTTCCAGCCCTGGCTGGGCGCACTGGACACCTGAGGTCAGGAATTGGGTAGAAATGGGGTCTGAAGTTGACCTGGAGTCTCCCTCCTCTGTGTGTTCCCAGCCTACACACAGTGTGAACCAGCTGAGTTAGTTACCTTCTCAGCCCAGGTTTGATGGATAGCACTGGACTGCTAACTGCAAAGTTGGTGGTTAAAACTCATCACGATTGTCTGCCCCTTAAAGATTTAGTCTCAGAAACCCTAAGGGGCAACTTAACTGCAAAGAGTTTGTTTTTGTAGGGGGTCTATTTGATGAGTCCCTGGGTGGCCCAGATGATTAAGCCCTCAGCTGCTAACCAAAGCTTCGAAGTCTGCATTAACCCAGTGGTGCCTTGGAAAAAAAACCCTGGCAATTCACTTCCCCCAAAAATCAGCCATTGAAAACCCTGTGGGGTTCTGCTCTGTCCTGCCTGCAGTGGCCATGAGTCAGGATTGAATCCTCAGCAGCCGGTGGTGTTGGTGGGGCTATTTGAGGAACCCACACTGAGGAAGCGACACATGATTACAGTCTGCAGGAACAGACAGAAGTAAATATAGAAAGCAAGCTTAACTCAAAGTGGCTATCTTGGTGCAAATATCTACACAACCCACCTACTTCCGGCAGCCCCACACTGTAAGCTAGTTCAGAGCCATAGCGAAAAGGTTAGCTGGCTACAACATAGCCCACATAGGAATGTAAGAAAAATCAGCCTTTCAGAATGAATGAGGGCTTCCAAGACCGTCATCTTTCCGGAAGCACACTGCCACGTGTTTCTACCAAGGAGCAGTTGGTGGGTTCGAACCTTTGACCTTTGGATTAGCAACTGAGCCCTCAACCACTGTGCTGCCATGGCTCCTTCCTCCGTTCCTAGGGAGTGTAAGTACAAATGTGTAGACCAATAATCCACTTCCAGTGTCACTGAGTCAATTCCGACTCATAGCGACCCTGAATAGGGTTTCAGAGGCTATAAATCTTTATCTCGTCTTTCTCCCAAGGAGCGGCTGGTGGATTTGAACTGCTGATCTTTCAGTTAGCAGTCCAGTGCTTATCCTACAGCATAGTGTAGAATAAACAATATTCAATAATAAAGAACAGACCAGGGCTAATTGTGTAGACAAATTGTTATTGTAGTTAAGTGCCTTCGAGTCAGCTCTGACTCATAGCAACTCTGTATAGGGTTTCCTAGGAGCAGCTGGTGTGTTGGAACTGCTCAGTCCAGTGCTGATCCTACAGCGCCACCAGGATAAATAGCTGTTGAGTGCTGTCAAGTCTGGTGGTCTCAATGACATTACTGAGACATTCAGATAGAGACAGGTGTTTTTTTTTAGTTTTTTTAAAAAAACTTTTAATCGTGAATTGTGTGAAGGTTTACAGTCAAGAGCATCAGTTTTATATTCAACAAATCATGCACTTTTCCTCATCTTAATGACTGCAATCCCCTCCCTGCAACAACAGTTAGCCCACTTCCTCCCTGGAGTTCCTATTTCCATTCCGCCCACCTGCCCATCCCCTTCCCAACTCTGTCCTGAGGTAAATGTTGTCCTTTTCAGTTTGAATGGTTGACCGTTGTGTGGTGAGCATACCTTACTAGTGTTACTATTCCCCTATAAACCGATCTACTGCTTGGCTGAGAATTGGGCGGTGAGGGTGAGTTCCTTTCCAGACCTAAAGGGTGGTCAAGGGCCACAGTTTCAGCTTCCTCCAGTCTCTTTCTGAGCACACTGAGCCCATTAAAAAAAGTGGTTTTTTGAGTTTAGTTTCACATTTCCTGCCACTCTGTCTGGGACCGTCTAATGGGATCCCTTTCAGAGCAGTTGGTAGTGGCAGCAGGTCACCATCTAGTTCTCCTGGTCTCCAAGTCATGGAGACTGAGGGTCACATGGCCCATTAGTCCATTGGACTCATTGATTCCATGCATTAGCTTCAGTTCTTATCACTCTTCTTCCTTCTGCACATGGAGAGACAGATAAGTGCACTTAGATGGATACTCATGAGCTTTTAAGATCCCAGATGCTACCACCAAAGTAGGATGTAGAACATTGTCTTTGTGGACTTTGTGCTGTGCCAATGGACTATGGTATCCCCGGAGACTATGGTTCTGAGCCCCCACGCCCAACAATGCATTGACTTAAGATGTTTGATAATAGTTAGGATGTTTTCATTATTTTGCCAGCTGTACATTGCACAACATTTATAGTTGTGTTTTCAGGAAAGGAAAATACGTAGGTACAAATATCCTCTTTCAAGCTCATATATTTGTGGGCTGTATCAGTGTACAAACATAGTCACTCTTTCTCCCATACCCATTCAGCCTATATCTCTGTCCATGTATTTACCCATAGAACACTGCTGTTCCCCTGTCGTCTATATAACACTACTTACCTCTCTCCCCTCTAGCCCTTGTATATATCTCCCTGTGACTTCACCTGGCTTCATTATTCTTCTGAAAGCTCCTCCTTCTTATATATTGCCCTCCCTGTCATGCAAGTTAGCATGTGTCTACAAGGTCGGCAGTTCAAACTCACCAGCTGCTCCTTGAAAACCCTATACAGGGTCACTATGCATCAGAATCGACTCGATGGCATTAAACAACAACAGCAGCAGTGAGAGGGAAGGCAGAATAATTCACTGGCTAAGGGGTTGTTGTTGTTAAGTGCCATCGAGCCAGTTCTGGTTCATAGTGAACTTATATAAGGTTTCCAAGGAGTCACTGATGAGTTTGAACCACTGATCTTACGGTCCAAACTGACCTTGAGGTCCATTGCTTGTCCTATAGGGCCATTCCAGTACTCCCCTCAGGCCTGGTAACCATCAAAGATTGTTTCTTTGAGTATGAAAACCTTCTCTTGAGTCTTTCCAATAGTGGTCTCAGACAGTATTTGTTCATTTGTGGTTGGTTGGTTTCACTCAGCATAATGTCCTGCAGGTTCATCCATGTTGTGAGGTGTTTTGCGAACTCATTATTATTCTTAAGTGTTGCATTGTGTTCCATTGTGTGTGCCCATTCTTCCATTGATGGGCACTTAGGCTGTCTCCACGTTTTTTGTTAGTGTGGCTAGTACTGCAGTGAACATGGGTGTGCCTAGATCTACTTGTGTCCTGGCCCTGTTTCTTACGGATATATACCAAGTAGGGAGATTGCTGAGACTTACAGTATTTCTAACTATATGTCTTACCGTTATGTATCTGAGACATACAGTATGCGCTTTACCATTTTCCACAGTGGTTGAACCCTATTACAGTCCCACCAACAATGTAGGAGGGTCCCAGTCTCTCCATACCTTTGCCAGCATTTGTTGTTTTCTGTTTGTTTGTTTTTTTTAACTTTACTATTAATGCTGGTATAAAATGATATCTCATTGTTGTTTTGATTTGCATCTCTCTAGTGGCTAATTATCATGAACACTTCTTAACTGTCTTCCTTGGTAACATTTTGTTTTTGTTTTGAGGGGGTGGTGGAAGTGAGGGGACACAATTCAGTCCCCAGCACTAGTGAATGGGGCTCTGGGTTCTATTTCCACTTCAGACTTTGCTTCGAAACCTCTGCTGAGGATTTGTCTTTCTACCATCCCAGATCGACTCCTGTTGCTCTGCTCTTCCTCAATTCCTTGGTAATTTTGTGTTTGCTCTCAGGATCCCTGGTGGCACCATGCGTCAAGCACTGAGCTGCTAATGGAAAGGTCAGGGCTTTGAAACCTTACGGGACAGTGGGGTTGGGGTGTGTGTTTGCTCCTTTGTTTAATCCGGTCTTTTTATCGCTCAGGAGTGATGAAGTTTAGGATTTGCCTACAAAGAATTAACCTTGTTAACATAACAAAGAAAACCTTATAAGAGGGGAGTAGGATCCCAACACATTTTTTTGGTGGGGTTACAATTCAGAACACTGATGTCAGATTATTTAGTGTGCTGTTCAGAGAGCATTTTCCAGATCTTTCTAGGTTCTCATCAGAGTGGACCCTGCCATGTCAGCTGTCTCCAGAGGACAAGCTGAGGCTATCAGAGGATTTCCTGGGAGTGGATGCAGAGCCCCTAAGATGGCCTTGCCCAGCAGGGACTTGATAAAGCCACTCAGCCTCGGCCCAAGCCACAACCCTAAGGAGAATTGCTTTGTGTTGTTTAATGCTGTTGAGTTTTTCCCACTCCTAGCAACCTTGTATAAGGTTTCCGAGACTAAGTCTTTGCAAGAGCAAAAGCCTCAACTCTCTTCTGATTGTAACTGACGGACTTGAAATGCTGACCTTGTGATTCGCCATCCAGTGCTTATCCTGTAGTGCCACCATGCTCCCTTGTTGTTGTTTTAAGTACTCTCGGTTTCACTTCTTTCTCCTTGGAAACAGGCATCTCTGGAGGGCGGTTTGGGAATGAGGAGAGCCCCCAAACCTTAAAGATCAGATATTTTGACCCTATCAGCAAGGCCCTCAGTAGCTGGGTTTCCAGAAGCCAGGCTTTCCACCTGGTACATTCTGGCTCCGCTCGCAGCTGAAATTTTGCCCTCCCGCCTCAGAGAGACTGAATCCAAATCCATATTCTAACTAGATCCCCAGGTTTCTTAGATAACTAGGGGCTTCATAAAGTTTGTGGGGAAAAAACGCATTATCTTTTAATTCAATTTTTCCACAAATTTTTTGAAGCTCCCTCATCTATCCTCAGGTGTAGATATAAGAAACACTTGGTGATCCGGTTCAACTATGGATTCTAATTCTTTGGGGTGGACAGGTAAATTCTCAGGAGGGGGTGGAACCAGAATGAAGTCGTTCTAAGCCCTGGTTCACACTGGGTTCTAACAAGTTTCTCAGTTCATGACGGATGAGAAGG